TTTAGCCACAAAGTCCGGAAGCAAGACCAGAGAACGACAGGACCGTCGCTGTCACACCAAGCAGTTTGCTTGAACACTGGACTAATGAATTGTGTAAGTTGCTACATGGTAGAGTGAACCCTTCGGCTATTGATCCTGACACTAACGATGAAGCAGGTCGAAGTCTAGGCGGGTAGTCTATCTCTTACACAGTTGTGTTAGCCGTGGTGATGCTGTAGAGGGGCTCAAAGATAGCTACTCCGATGTTGATCATCTAGGAGACGTTTTGACTGCAGGTAGGGGAGTTGCACAAGGGTTTTGATGGCTTAGTTATTTGTGGTGAGGCAGGATCATGCAATGGGTTATTCTTCGCTTGTTTTTAGTGGTTCCAATTTGAAGAAATCAGGAAATCAGACATCCGAAGCAGTGACCCAGCTAAACTGCCCGAGAGGGGTTCTTCTCTCGAGGACCTCTATTCATAGTGATCTTTTGAAGTACTTTAATCTTGCACACTTCATCACCGTTGATCCTCTGGGGCTGCAGCGGAGTTTCTAAACAGGCTCGCAACAAGCATTCTGCGTGGCACAGCCGTGGGCGTGACTGAGGCTGAACAAAGTGTCGGGGACGAGTGGTTTTGAGAGGTTTTAATTGCTGGAATTTACCTAACATATCAAATTCCACCTTCTCGGTATCGTCAGGCGGTGCATTGTACGACAAACTCAGGCTCTGTTGACTGAATATCACCCTGTTAAGTGACCTTCGTTTCCACTTAATGCGTCTGTGCTAGTCGAACAGGCGGTGTGTTGTTGAATAGCGCTGACTGAAGCTCAGGTGTGTGTGCGTGTGTGTGTGTGTGAAATTCGCTAAGCGAAGGGGCTTGTGGAAGCGGGGACGAGGAGGAAGGCAGCTCTCTATCTCCAGTCTTACTTCAATTGCGCATCTCAGGAAGTTGCACAATCGTGAGTTGCTGCTAGACACCCTTTAACCGCTTAATGTTTTCGAATGTGGCAGTGGCTTCACTTATATTAAGTTGAGCTTGTTTGATGGCAGAGTATTTTTTGTGCTTTCCATCAAACTTTTTAATGTATCCTTTTTGGCTGATAAATGATGCTGCTTCGTTATGGCACTCATTACTGCACTTTGTTGATAAGAGCTGCGTTTTAGTCAATCTGCGACTTGACCTCCTCATCATTGGTCGTTGCGTTTACGGTGGTATTCATTATCCTTCGGTAACGTTTTAGTGGGGAGCACAATCACTGAAGGATAAGTCTTTTCCTCTTAGATTTGGTCCTCCGGAGGGATTAGAGGGTTGGCACATTGTTTGGTAGTGTAGTAGCCCAATGGCAGGAGGCAGTAATAAAGTTAGCCAACTTTTTCGCCAATCGAAAGACTAGTAAACGATCTGTGAAGGTCAATTGTATTTACTCCGGTTGGATTTGACAATACGGCTTTAATTCAAGCAGCTCTAGGTGCCTGCTGTAAAGGCGGAAAACTGGCGAATAGCTTGCGAGATGGATAAACTATTTAGCTGCCAAAAGTACATAATTCTTCTGCTAGCCCAATTATTTATTCCAATTTCTGCGGATCTTGATTCGCCAGGATACGCTCAGGTTCTGGCAGTTTTGAAGGCATGCTCAGCTTCCTCCCTGTTGGCATCGGCAGTTGTTCTGGATCTCGAAATGTCAAGCAGTTGGCTTCATCCAAAATAATGCCTCTTTTCTCCGTCTCAATGCAAGTTTCACGGACAAGATTGTCTGCTGGCAATTATTCTAGCCACTTTGAACGATAAGGTTGTGCTCATTTGGAAGCGCACTCAATCGTTGCATCTCTTAGAAGGTCTAAGTGGGCATAGAAAGTGCGTTTGTCTCTTGCATTATTATGTACTTTATCAATGATACGAATTCTTGTTTGTCTACCTTGGTTTCTTGTAAAGTTATGGGTGTTTTTGTCTCCACAGAAGGATGTCTATTAAAAGGAGAGCGAAGATAGTTAAGGTGGTCAGCCATTCCAATGTATTTTATGATTCACCAGAGTTGTTATATTCCACACAGTTTAATTATTCACTCTTTTTCTTCCTTTAATAACATGCCACTTTGAATTCAGCTCCTTCAACACTTCAAGTGTGCTCCTCAATTTTTCTAATTGTCGCACCTTATTTTCCTCAAAGTCCATTTTATACAAAGATGTAGTCAATTTTTTTCCATTCTGTCTTATTTATCAATCTTGTATTCGAGTTCGAATTTGAAAGAAAGCAACGCTATTATTCTCAGCCGTGGTCAGTCACGTTGGAATTGAGGTTGTTGCTTGACGCATACTGTTTCCGCATTTGGCCTCTGCGTCATTGCCTCTGCTTCTGGTGGCGAGATATAAAACTGTTTTCTCTGTTTTTTTTCCAACCTGGATTTCTCTTTCATTAGCATTATTGTGTTTAATATACGTGTTATGAAGTTCTCTTCAATTGTCAACTTTTGCGCCGTCTGTAGTTTACTTTATATTGCACGATTCGGTTGGAAGAGCCTTTTTGACCTTTCACGGTGTTTAATTTTGCTAATGGCTAGTGCTGTAATATTTCAAATGGTGATGGTTTAAAGTGCGAAGTTGTTCGTTTCCATCTTTTTTTCATAGAAACGATGCCACAGTCTGATTGCGAACGATCGAGTGAGGAGAAGTTTCTGCCACGTGGTTATCCTCGTCTGTTTTAGCATAGCAGGTTGCTTTTTAACAGCTTTATTCAATTTTCGTCAATTTTTACACAGATTACCGTATTTTAAAGGTAAAACTGTTTTTAAGGGTGACTGACCAAAGAGGCGAGGTCTCTATCTTAAGGCTAAAATTGTCATCGAATCTTGATGCGTATTGAGTTTTCGCTTCTTACCTGTGAAGTCTAATAGGTTGGTTTGGTTTTCTAGAAGAAAATTTGTACGACTCAGGCTCCTGAATGGTCCCTAATTTGTATTGTGGTGATTTAGTACTCTGCTTAACTGCGCGGGGACGTGAGTCCCTGCAGATTGTATTTCCGCTCTGCAGGATAGCCTTAGGGCCATGCTAATAGCCTAGCCACTCTCTCCATTAGTGAGCACTATGTACTTTCATACTACACTGATTTATTACGACTGCGAGATGCTACAAATAATCCTTTTTATCAGTGTTGGGTCATTCGCCCATTTCTTCCTCTGGAATGTGTTTAATTTATCGCCATAGAATCACTTTCGCTACATCATGATTCGTTTTTTATGAATGTAAAGCAGTCGTTCTGTTCATCCTTGATTGGCCTTCGTGTTGAATGAGACTTTCCCTAACACATGCTTGTTGCTTTGGCTTTGCAGGTTCAAATATTGGCAGTGGGTATATCGAACGCAAATGCAAAGCCTGCCACCTAGAGCGGATTATAGCTGGGATTTGTTGGTGTTGATACACTGCTGCCATTGCAAGGTGTTTAAAGACGATGCGGTGAAGGGATCGTGGGGCACAAAAATGATGAGTTTTTCTTCTGGCAAGACCGTCTAGATGACTCTCTCTCCATTCCTGCTCATTAAATCTCCTTCCTTAAGCTGTGATGGTGCCTCAACAATTCAGCATCGTACTTTAAATTGCTTTTTGCTTGTAAATTATGGTTTTGTACACACTTTGAGTGTCTATTGGAAAATTAATGAAGGCCGTAAGGTGAAGTGGACTCGTGGAGTCAAATATCCATTTTGTTGTTGATCAAAGGTGAGATGTGGGATGTGGTTGTCATATGTCGCGTTTTGGATGAGGTATTACCACCTGTGGTATCGGTAAGTGGAACATTTGAGTTGTAAGAACCAGGAATGCAGAGGTACTCTCTAGTATATGCAAGTGTACGAGCTTAAAGACGGTCACCACAATTAGCGTAATTAAGATACCTATTTGCAAGAAATTTGGTAAGTTTTGCGACCAATTTTATAGGAGGCAAGACCAAGGCAGTTCACTCGCTGAAGTGGAAGCTTTACTATGGGGGTGGACGAATCGATTTGACGAAGGTCAAGTGATGCAAATCACGGGTCAAAAATGTGCATCTCATGCTATGTGGATGTCAACTGATGCAATATCACCACGAAATTCGACATTAATATAGCCTTTAATCCGTGCTAACAGGTCTAATTTTAATGAGTTAGACCTGCTGATGCACAGAAATCCATTTAAGTATAGTCTCATTAAACCAATAAATAGGAGGATTCCTGCCATTCAAGCATATTATTAGGTGTGTTGTGATTTGCGGGAAATGACGCATGCGCACACCGCAGCAAATTTGCCGTCAGCATGCGTGCGTAAATAGACCGAAATGTATTTAAGAAGAACTTCATTTAACCAACAGATGGCAAGCAATCTTGAGGAGCAAACATAATATTGCGGCTGTACAGATTGAATGAATTGCATACCCAGTAATGAGTGCTTCTCACTATTTCTTGCTATCCGCAGGTCTCTATCATCGATACTTATAGTTAACTTATTCATCATGCATGCTCTGCGTTTTTTGCGAGAAATTATGCGTGCGCACACCGCAGCACATTTGCTGTCAGCATGCGTACTCGTGGTATGTGAATACGGTAGCAGCAGCAAGAAAGCTGCCGCCGCGCCGCTGTGACAATGAATGCGGCTGGCCAGCGGCCGCAAATCATAACGGCACCAAAGCGATGCCAAATGCCATCTGCGGCATCATACGTTATTGCACTCCCTAAACATACACACACAAGCGCAAAACTTTCAATAAACGAATCTGTGCATAAAAAGCAAATTCTTCACCATCTAGAAAAAAGACCATTGCACCTATACTTGCATTGAATTATTGCAATGACATGAGTACGTATGTCAGTTTAAGGCAGTCTGCAGATTCAATAAATTAAGGGTTTAATAGTAGCGATTCAGGAAACAGATGACCAACTCATGTAATGCCTGAAGTACATGTAGAGATTTAAGGCTAAAAGGAAGTAAAGTGACGAAATATAAGGTAGAATAATGTAGGCATAAAGACGGGCACGGGAAAAGAAGGAAATAAATGGGGGGCATTTGTGGAAATCAGGCTAACAGGGGCTCAACTGATGTAAAGACACATCTTCATGCATGGAAATCAGTCTATCCGTAAGGCGGCATACAAAATAATGTGTGCATCTCACGATTTCTTGCTATCCATCCGTCGGTTGGATGAAGCTCTACTTAAATACATTTCAGTCTATAAGTAAGTACATGTCATCAATGTTATACCTACTTAAACGGATTCAAGGCTAACGAAATGTCGAAGGTCGTTCTGAAGTCTAAGCATGCCGATTAGACGGAGGTCAAGTGACTCAACTCATGAAGCGGCCGAACACCCGCGCTCGAAGCCACAGTGGGGTAACAAGCAGTAACGAATGCAGACAGGATCCACCTCACTTGTCATGGTCGTTGAGATGATATTTCATGCCCATGACGTGCTTCACCTCAATGTACCACACATACCAACCTGCCCCTACACCACAAACGCGACGACACCGGGAGCAACGACGTGGGTGAGTACCACAATCACTGCCCGCCATTCTGGGTCAGCTGCGATTCCAACACTGACAGTGTGCAAAATAGTTGAACTG